TCCATTTGGGCCTCGACGAGCTCCTCAACTCCGTCCTGGGCTTCGTCGTCGCTGGCCTCGCTAGAGGGAGAACCGTCGCTATCACTGCTCTCGCCTAAAGAGGGGGAGTGGAAGTCTCAATGCGCTGACGAGTCGCCTCGTTCCCGCGCGCTTGCTCTCGCCGAGCAGCGCAAATGCCGTGCCGGCCGACTGCACTCGCCGCGCTGCAGCAGCTTTGCGCGCTATTGCCGCCGCCTCGGCCTCCAAGCGGGCGCGCTTCCTTCGCTCCTCGGCTGCTGCCGCCTCTACTGCTGCCGCCTCTACTGCTGCCGCCTTGGCCGCCGCCTCTGCTGCCGCCGCCTCTGCGGCTGCCGCCCTTGCTGCCGCGGCCTCAGCTGCCGCTGCCTCAGCTGCCGCTGCCTCTGCTGCCGCTGCCTCTGCTGCCGCTGCCTCTGCTGCCGCTGCCTCTGCTGCCGCTGCCTCTGCTGCCGCTACCTCCGCTGCCGCCGCTGCTGCCGCCGCCGCCGCCGCCTCAGCAACCGCAACCGCATCCTCCTCCGCCGGGTCCGCGTCCACGCGCGCACCTGCTGTGGTTGCACCACCCGGACCGCCTCCCCGCTTCTGGCGGCCGCCCTTGCCCTTGCCTCTGCCGCCGGTTCGCCCGCCGCCTGGACCGCCTCCTCGCCCGCCGCCTCCACCGCCACCACCCGCACCACCACCGCCGCGCCCGCCGACTCCGCCGCCGCCACCGCCCGCATCGCCGCCGCCTCGCCCGCCGCCGCCTCGCCCGCCGCCTCGCGCGTCGCTTCGCCCGCCGCTTCGCCCGCCGCCTCGCCCGCCGCCTCGCCCGCCGCCCGCGAGGCCTCGACTGCCTTTGTGCCCGGCGGAGCTTGGAATGCCGTTGCTGGCGCCACGGCCGACTCCCGTCCCGAGCGGTCGGCTGTTGCCTTTTGCTGCTCGGGCCACCCGTCTCCCTGCGGCGACCTCAGCCTCGTCAAGCCTGCGCCGGCCGCTGCTCGGCGAGGTCGCTGGTCCCATGTCGTCGACGACCATGTCGCTGAAAGAGCTCTACAGGGCCCAGAAGAATTTTCGGGCATGTCGCCGGTGGTTGGGTCGATGTAGCAGACGCTACAAGTACTCGGGCTTGCCCTTGAGCCCCTTCGGCATCTCGCAGTACCAGGTCTCGCCCTCCCCGCGCTCCGCCCAGGTGTACGCCATGGGCTGGTCGCACGTGATGAGCTCCATGTCCTCCTGCGCGGCCACGTTGAGCACGGTGCGGGTCGTGCCGTAGCGGACGACGCTCGCGAAGGTCTTGGTGAAGTCGACGCTGGGCCGCATCAGGTTGCCCATGACACATCCGCGCCACTTGCACCGGCCGTCGGACTTCTGGGAGGCGATCTCCTTCAGCGGGAGGACGCGCACCTTGGCGGGGCGGCGCATGGGCTTGAGCGTGCCGTTCTGGATGAGGCCGAGGAACTCGGTGTCATACGCCTTGTACCACATGTCGCGCAGCTTGGGGTCGCGGATGTTGGCGATGTCCTTGTAGTGCTTGGGCACGATGTTGTCCGGCATGGGCATGATCTGGCCGTCCACGCTCGACATGTACGCGACGCACTGGTCCGTGGTGTTGCGGTAGACCGACGACGATGGGGACGCGGCCGCCGCAGCCGCCCAGATGCCGAAGGGCGTGGCACTGGCGGCGAGGCGGGCGTTGAGCATGTTGTTGTACTCGCCCGTCGAGACGCCGCCGCGGCTGCGGGTGGTGCGCGGCGCACCCGCTGCGGGCGGGTTGACGTTGCCGTCGTTGGCCGGGTCTGGCATGATCACCACCTCCTCGTCGAGGGTCAGCCCCCCGGCGTGGTTGTCGGTGGTGGGGAGGAAGACGGAGTCGCCGCGCGCCACGTTGTTGTCGAGCGTAGCCTTGTCCGACTCGTCGGGCATCTCGTCCGCGGTCACGAGCTCCGGCCACGCGCCCTCGATGTCCGTCGGAGGGAGGTCGGTGGTAGGGGCGCGGTACTCGATGCCGTTCCAGAGCTCGTGTGAAGGTCTTCAGTGACCACTCACAAGCTGTTCCAAGGCCCGACAGAAATGTACTGTCAAAACTTTGTTCAAACAAAAGTCCTGGCCCGCGGCCCCCACACCCACAATGACTATCAATCCAGGCTGCGGGTGAAGGGCAAAACCGCGCCGCTGCAGAACGGTTTTTGACTGTGAAGGTCTTCAGTGACCACTCACAAGCTGTTCCAAGGCCCGACAGAAATGTACTGTCAAAACTTTGTTCAAACAAAAGTCCTGGCCCGCGGCCCCCACACCCACAATGACTATCAATCCAGGCTGCGGGTGAAGGGCAAAACCGCGCCGCTGCAGAACGGTTTTTGCAAAACCGCGCCGCAGCGGTACGAAACTGCGCAGGTGCAGTCCAGGGGTGGTAAGGACACTATGTGTGTGTGTGTGGCCGTAGACTAGACGGCTGCGCGGTCGTCGGTCTTCAACAGCCCCCCATCCTCGCATCGGGTAGCGAGGCTGAGGATCTGAAGAAGCTAGACGACTCCTACATCTCCTACTATCGCGCGCACAATTGCGCAGCCCCCTCAAGGGTGGAGGACATACAAGTGACTCGGGGAGCTCCAGGAGCGCCCATACTGCCGGTTGTCGACTACATTTGATGAAGGGGAAGTCGGCGTTTCCCCTCTGTGCCGTCCTAGGCGGTGTCGTTCATGATCTCCTTGCGGAACGACTCGAACTCCTTGCGCGGGAGCGGCTTGGTGAAGAAGTCGGCGAAGTTCTTGAGGCTCTCGACGTACTCGACCTTGACCTCCCCGGACTCGACGAGCTCGCGAATCTTGAGCTCCTTGCGCAGGATGTGCTTCGTCTTGTCGTGCATGACCGGGTCCTCGGCGACGCGCAGCGCGGCCGTGTTGTCGATCTTGATGATGGTCGGGCCCTTGGGCTTGTAGCCGAGCGACGCGAGGAGGGAGCGCAGGTGGACCGCCTCGCAAGCCGCCAGCGTGCCGGCAGAGATCTCGGCCTCGAACGTCGAGAGGGAGATGTGACCCTGCTTCTTGGAGAAGTACGAGATGATCGCGGTGCCGATCTTGAAGGCGCAGCCGGAGGTGCTCTGGCGGGTGCACCAGTTCGCGTCGGAGCAGCCGAAGAGCTTGGGGTCGGCGACGCGCTCGTAGTGGAGACCGAGGTCCTGCGTGCCGATGAGGTAGATGAGGCAGCGCTCGGCGGCGGCCTCGATGTTCGCGTCGGGCCAAGCCATGCAGCGCGCCAGCTGCGAGACGGTGTACTGGATGTCGGGGCGCGCGTTGGTGGCGAACATGAGGCTGCCGATGAGGCACTGGCAGGGTCGGGCACGGTCTTCTTCTCGGCTGCGCTGATGACGACGGACGGGAGGTCCTTGTCCGCGGGCACCTTGTAGCCCGCGTGCGTGACGCCTGACGGGAAGAAGCGCGCGCGCAGCGTGTCGATGTACTTGCTGGCCGACAGCTTGAAGCCGGTCTGCGTCTTGGTGATGGTGAGCCCGAGGAACTCGTGCACCTTTCCCTCGTGGACTTTGAGCGGCTTGCCGACGTGCTTGTTGAAGTGCTCGATGTACTCGTGCGCGAGCGCCCTGCCAGCGGTGGTCCCGGAGTGGAAGATGCCGAAGTCGTCCACGTAGATGGCGACGATGAGTTTCGTGTTGTTGCGGGTGAGGGTGAAGCAGCACGGGTCCGCCTCGGACTGCACGAGCCCAGGGAACGCCTTGTTGATGGACTTGACCTTGTTCCACCAAGCGTTACCTGCGGACGGTGCGCCGTAGAGGTTGCCGACCTCGCACACCATGTCCTTCTCCTCGCCAGTGATGGGGTCGATGTAGCAGTACTCGGGCTTGCCCTTGAGCCCCTTCGGCATCTCGCAGTACCAGGTCTCGCCCTCCCCGCGCTCCGCCCAGGTGTACGCCATGGGCTGGTCGCACGTGATGAGCTCCATGTCCTCCTGCGCGGCCACGTTGAGCACGGTGTGGGTCGTGCCGTAGCGGACGACGCTCGCGAAGGTCTTGGTGAAGTCGACGCCGGGCCGCATCAGGTTGCCCATGACACAGCCGCGCCACTTGCACCGGCCGTCGGACTTCCGGGAGGCGATCTCCTTCAGCGGGAGGACGCGCACCTTGGCGGGGCGACGCATGGGCTTGAGCGTGCCGTTCTGGATGAGGCCGAGGAACTCGGTGTCATACGCCTTGTACCACACGTCGCGCAGCTTGGGGTCGCGGATGTTGGCGATGTCCTTGTAGTGCTTGGGCACGATGTTGTCCGGCATGGGCATGATCTGGCCGTCCACGCTCGACATGTACGCGACGCACTGGTCCGTGGTGTTGCGGTAGACCGACGACGATGGGGACGCGGCCGCCGCAGCCGCCCAGATGCCGAAGGGCGTGGCATTGGCGGCGAGGCGGGCGTTGAGCATGTTGTTGTACTCGCCCGTCGAGACGCCGCCGCGGCTCCGGGTGGCGCGCGGCGCACCCGCTGCGGGCGGGTTGACGTTGCCGTCGTTGGCCGGGTCTGGCATGATCACCACCTCCTCGTCGAGGGTCAGCCCCCCGGCGTGGTTGTCGGTGGTGGGGAGGAAGACGGAGTCGCCGCGCGCCACGTTGTTGTCGAGCGTAGCCTTGTCCGACTCGTCGGGCATCTCGTCCGCGGTCACGAGCTCCGGCCACGCGCCCTCGATGTCCGTCGGAGGGAGGTCGGTGGTAGGGGCGCGGTACTCGATGCCGTTCCAGAGCTCGTGTGAAGGTCTTCAGTGACCACTCACAAGCTGTTCCAAGGCCCGACAGAAATGTACTGTCAAAACTTTGTTCAAACAAAAGTCCTGGCCCGCGGCCCCCACACCCACAATGACTATCAATCCAGGCTGCGGGTGAAGGGCAAAACCGCGCCGCTGCAGAACGGTTTTTGACTGTGAAGGTCTTCAGTGACCACTCACAAGCTGTTCCAAGGCCCGACAGAAATGTACTGTCAAAACTTTGTTCAAACAAAAGTCCTGGCCCGCGGCCCCCACACCCACAATGACTATCAATCCAGGCTGCGGGTGAAGGGCAAAACCGCGCCGCTGCAGAACGGTTTTTGCAAAACCGCGCCGCAGCGGTACGAAACTGCGCAGGTGCAGTCCAGGGGTGGTAAGGACACTATGTGTGTGTGTGTGGCCGTAGACTAGACGGCTGCGCGGTCGTCGGTCTTCAACAGCCCCCCATCCTCGCATCGGGTAGCGAGGCTGAGGATCTGAAGAAGCTAGACGACTCCTACATCTCCTACTATCGCGCGCACAATTGCGCAGCCCCCTCAAGGGTGGAGGACATACAAGTGACTCGGGGAGCTCCAGGAGCGCCCATACTGCCGGTTGTCGACTACATTTGATGAAGGGGAAGTCGGCGTTTCCCCTCTGTGCCGTCCTAGGCGGTGTCGTTCATGATCTCCTTGCGGAACGACTCGAACTCCTTGCGCGGGAGCGGCTTGGTGAAGAAGTCGGCGAAGTTCTTGAGGCTCTCGACGTACTCGACCTTGACCTCCCCGGACTCGACGAGCTCGCGAATCTTGAGCTCCTTGCGCAGGATGTGCTTCGTCTTGTCGTGCATGACCGGGTCCTCGGCGACGCGCAGCGCGGCCGTGTTGTCGATCTTGATGATGGTCGGGCCCTTGGGCTTGTAGCCGAGCGACGCGAGGAGCGAGCGCAGGTGGACCGCCTCGCAAGCCGCCAGCGTGCCGGCAGAGATCTCGGCCTCGAATGTCGAGAGGGAGATGTGACCCTGCTTCTTGGAGAAGTACGAGATGATCGCGGTGCCGATCTTGAAGGCGCAGCCGGAGGTGCTCTGGCGGGTGCACCAGTTCGCGTCGGAGCAGCCGAAGAGCTTGGGGTCGGCGACGCGCTCGTAGTGGAGGCCGAGGTCCTGCGTGCCGATGAGGTAGATGAGGCAGCGCTCGGCGGCGGCCTCGATGTTCGCGTCGGGCCAAGCCATGCAGCGCGCCAGCTGCGAGACGGTGTACTGGATGTCGGGGCGCGCGTTGGTGGCGAACATGAGGCTGCCGATGAGGCACTGGCAGCGCTGGAGGAGCTGCGGGTCGGGCGCGGTCTTCTTCTCGGCTGCGCTGATGACGATGGACGGGAGGTCCTTGTCCGCGGGCACCTTGTAGCCCGCGTGCGTGACGCCTGACGGGAAGAAGCGCGCGCGCAGCGTGTCGATGTACTTGCTGGCAGACAGCTTGAAACCGGTCTGCGTCTTGGTGATGTTGAGCCCGAGGAACTCGTGCACCTTTCCCTCGTGGACCTTGAGCGGCTTGCCGACGTGCTTGTTGAAGTGCTCGATGTACTCGTGCGCGAGCGCCCTGCCAGCGGTGGTCCCGGAGTGGAAGATGCCGAAGTCGTCCACGTAGATGACGACGATGAGTTTCGTGCTGTTGCGGGTGAGGACGAAGCAGCTCGGGTCCGCCTCGGACTGAACGAGCCCAGGAAACGCCTTGTTGATGGACTTGACGTGGTTCCACCAAGCGT